AAATGGATACAGGTATTCAAAGGTCAACTGGCTCAGCCACTTCCAACATTGTGCTTTGCCAGTAGATAGGGTGTCCCAGTTAAGTTTGGCATCTGTGTGGTGACCTCTCAGGACGGGGAACCACCAGGTTGCCCAATGAGAGGTGACCAACCAAAGTCATAAACAGCAGGTCAAAACTTCGGTGCTGATCAGTAGTGGAATGGCACCTGTGAAGAGCCACTGTACTCCAGCCTGGACAGCATAGCAAGACCCCACTCTAGAAAATAAATAAATAAAATTTCACAAATGGTAGGACCCATGCATATTGGGAAGGACTTTATCTATATGTGTATCTATAAAACAGTGTATAGTACCATTTTGTATGTCTTTAAAATTGTAATAATGTATACCTTAATCTAACACAGCTGGTATTCTTCCAATATGTAGTCAATATAAAAATCACTGATTTGTTTTGCATTTTTAATTGATATATCATAGTTGCATGCAAGGTGTAATGATCAAATCAGGGTAATTGTAATATCTGTTACCTCAAATGTGTATCTTTTCTTTGTGTTGGGAAAGTTTTGCATGGCTTTAAACTTCATATATTGAATGTAACACTTTTTAACTTACCTTTTTTTGTGTGTTTAAGAAAAGTTTTTTGAGCTTTTATGCATATGTGTGTTTATACATACAGGTCTGGTTCATTAATTTTAACTGGTATGTAGCATTCTACACCTCAGTTTATTTAGCCATTCTATTAGCAGACATTTAGGTGCTTATAATTTGTTCTTTTACGAATAATCGTGAAGGAAATATTCCTGTAAAGGTCTCCTTGCCCACATGTGGGAGAATTTCACAGCATACATATGCAGGTTTGTTAATCTTCAGCTCTACAAAATATTGCCAAATTGCTTTCTAAAGGGGCTCCAGGAGTAATACCCTTACAGCAGCATAAGAGGTGTTATGGTTTCAATATCCCTTTCAAAACTCATTTTAAAATGTAATTGCTGTTGTAACAGTATTAAGACGTGGGACTTGGCTCGGCGCCTGTGGCTCAATCGGCTAGGGTGCCAGCCACATACACCTAGGGTGGCAGGTTTGAATCCAGCCCCGGACCCGACGGCTGCAACCAAAAAATAGCCAGGCACTGTGGCGGGTGCCTGTAGTCCCAGCTACTTGGGAGGCAGAGGCAGGAGACTTGCTTGAGCCCAGGAGTTGGAGGTTGCTGTGAGCTGTGATGCCACAGCCACTCTACCCAGGGGGGATAGCTTGAGGCTCTGTCTCAAAAAAAAAGACGTGGGACTTTTAAGAGGTTATTAGGTCATGAGGATGATGCCCTCATGAATGGATTAAGCCATTATTTCCAGAGTGGGTTGGTTATCCCAGGAATGGCCTTCTGACAAAAAAAGAAAAGTTTGGAGCAAGTTCCTCTCTTTCGTCTCTATTTCCTCTCTCTGTCTCACACCCTCTATTCCACTTCCCACCTTCTGTCATGAGCTGACCCCGCCCAGATGCCAAAGCCATGCTCTTGGATTTCCCGGATTCCAGAACCATGAGCCAAATAAACTGCTATTCCTTATAAATCATCCAGTCTACGCTATTCTGTCATAGCAACAGAAAGCAGGCTGAGACAAGGGCCATCCTGTTTCCCCACATCCTGGAATATCTGGCATTGTTGGGCTTTAAAAAAAATTGGCCTCAGGCAGTGCCTGTAGCTCAAAGGAGTAGGGCACTGGCCCCATATGCTGGAGGTGGTGGGTTCAAACCCAGCCCTGGCCAAAAATGCAAAAAAAAAATTGGCCTCAAGATGTGTATAACATGGGATCTCCTAATCAATTGTCTCTCCCCAGACCTCTGTGCTTCTGGAAGCCCCACCTGCAGCCCTCCCCTACTCACACACACAAAGGGGACGGGTTGAGCATGCAGGGCCTGGCTGCCTTCCCTGCCTCCCTGCTAAGTCTAGACAGTTCCCAGAGCTGCTCACTGGGACCCCCTTCTCCACCAACACCGCGTCCTTACGTGTACATAGTCTCTCCCTGTGGCAGAGCTGTGCAATACCACCCACTCACGCTGGTGACTTCCATATGTATAAACATACCTCTTCCATAGGTGTAAACACCCCCCACCCAGGTAATGTGCCATATACCGGTGCAATGTACCCAACAGGTGGGAACTTACCCAAACCCTCCTCCCGCCTTGAATTTCCCTGAGTTTTCTCTTGTGTGAACATGTAGATGTGAATCTTCTAGTTCCAATTTAGCACTGGATACCTGTGATGTTTGTTTTTCCATTCTTGTTATACTTCACTTAGAATGGTCTCTGATTCCACCCAGGTTGCTGCAAAAGTTATGTAATCTCCATCTTTTTATTTATTTATTTATTTATTTTTTTTTGAGACAAAGTTTCAGTGTGTCGCTCTCGGTGGAGTGCCTGGCGTCACAGCTCACAGCAACCTCAAACTCTTGGGCTTAAGCGATTCTCTTGCAATAGCCTCCCAAGTAGCTGGGACTATAGGCGCCCCACTATTTTTTGGTTGCAGTTGAAATTGTTCTTTAGCAGGCCTGGGTCAGGTTCGAACCCACCTGCCTCTATGTATGTGGCTGGCGCCCTAACAACTGAGCTACGGGCCCTGAGCCTCCATCTTTTTTTTTTTAATGGCTGGATAATAATCCTTGGTATGCGTATACCACAATTTATTAATCCATTATTGTGTTGAAGGGCACATGGGTTGTTCTCACATTTTTGAGATTGTGAATTGTGCTGCTATAAACATTCAAGTTCAAGTGTCTACAGCAGCATGTCTTTTTTTCCTTTGGATAAATACCGAGTAATGGGACTGCAGGATCAAATGGCAGGTCTGCTTTTAGCTCTTGAGGACTCTCCATACTGCCTTCCCTAGAGCCCGCACCAGTCTGCAGTGGTAGCTCAACATTTTAGAACAAACTGTGAGCTCAAATGAAGTTTCTTTTCTAGAGTCTGAAGGGGGATAAAAGGTACTTGAGACAACATTTACCTTTAGCTAGAACACTGGTTCTCAAACTTCTCAGTCTCTAGACCCCCAACATTCCTAAAAATTATTGAGAACCCCAAAGAGTTTATGTTCATGTGTATTACATCGAGAAATATTTGCCTTAGAAATTAAAATGAATGGGTGCAGCATAGGGGCACATGACCCGCCTTCTGGGTGAAGGGTTCAACTACAACTTGGACTTTACCTAACAAACACCAACAGTGTAACCTAATTGTTTACACCCTCATGTTAATCAGAAATTTTTTAGAAAAGAAATTAAAATGAAGACTTTTTTTTTCAGTTTTTGGCCGGGGTTGGGTTTGAACCTGCCACTTCTGGCATATGGGGTCGGCGCCCTATTCCTTGAGCCACGGGCACATCCCCAGTGAAGACATTTTTAAATGTTTATGTTAAAATAATAAATAATAGATCTATCATACAGGGTGGCCATAAAGTTCTATTTTAAATAGCACACAAATTTTATGGCTACCCTGTATGTTAATATTAATAACATTTATATTTAAAAAACTACATTTTTAAAAACTACTGAGCAGAGTGGCAGCCAGGAGGATAGCTGTTCCTCACTAACAGTGCCTGGGAAGCACCTGACAAGATTCTGTTGCATGAACAGGTGGGCACACCATTTGAGAGCAGCCCCCACAGTCAGACACAACCTCTTCTCAGGTTGTGGGTGGGTATGAGATACGAGAAACCTCAAGCCTTTTGCAAGAAGCCTCCAGATCCTCCTGTGGCCTCCCTGCCTCCAGACTTGCTCAGTCCTTCTTTCCTTCTCCCCAAATCTTCTCTCTTCAGGACAATTTGAAGAACAGGGAAAGAAATCATTTTAGTGTCTTCGAAAATCAATTTGTAAGCTTCTGTGTTTTTAAATTATGTAGTTAGTTGTTTGTTTTTGTTTTGTTGTGTTTTGTTTTGAGACAGAATCTTGCTCCATCACTTAGGCTAGAGTGCAGTGGCATCAGTCTAGCTCACAGCAACCGCAAACTCCTGGTTTAAGCTTTGTCCTGCTTCAGCCTCCCCAATAGCTGGGACTACAGGTGTCTGCCACTACACTTGGCTGATTTTTCTATTTTTAGCTGAGATGGGGTCCACTCTTGCTCAGGCTGGTGTCAAACTCCTGAGCTCAAGGAATCTTCCCAAGTTGGCCTCTTTGTGTGCTAGGATTACAGGTGAGAGCCACAGGCCTGACCTGTATATGTCTTTTAAATAAGCTTATCTGTATAGTCAAAATAATGATTATATGAATTTTAATCCAGGGAATTATTTTTGAGTGTTTCCTTTGGGAAAAAAAATGAATGTTGAGGCCTGGTTTTGCCAGGATTTGTTTATTCTTTTTTTTTTTCTTTCTTTTGAGACAGAGCCTCAAGCTGTCACCCTGGGTAGAGTGCCATGGCTTCACTGCTCACAGCAACCTCCAACTCCTGGGCTCAAGCGAGTCTCCTGCCTCTGCCTCCCAAGTAGCTGGGACCACAGGCGCCTGCCACAACGCCCGGCTATTTTTTGGTTGCAGCCATTATTGTTGTTTGGCGGGTCCGGGCTGGATTCGAACCCGCCACCTTAGGTGTATGTGGCTGGCACCTTAGCTGCTTGAGCCACAGGCGCCGAGCCCAGGATTTGTTTATTCCTGTCTGTATCTGTGTTGAGAAAGCCCACGGTGTGTTAGATTCTTTTCCTCACTACAATACACAAACCTAACAAACTGGCTGTCATATTCTTTTCCTGATTACGATACTGAAACCTAAGTGCTTCCCCTTTTTTAAGGAGAAGCTGCCCCCTCCCCCTTTAGTTTTTCCTCTGGTTAGAGGAAATTCACAGAGCCAAGATTGAAAAAAAAAAGATGGTCATCTCTGCTCCTATTGAAGAGCTGAGCTCCAGCTTCGCGCCACGCCTCTGCCATTCCTGACGTCATACTATTTTTGTCTTTGAATAGCTCATTGACACAATCGCCTCAGAGATCGGAGAACTGAAACAGGAGATGGTGCGGACAGATGTCAGCTTGAAAAATGGCCTGGAACCCGTCGAAACCCACAGGTGACCAACGCACTTAGGTGCTGGGTTCAAGAGAGGGATGAGGGAATCTGGTTGGGGACAAGGGCTGACTTCCCGGGCACTTCTCAGAAGTTCAGGGACTGGGAGTATGGTGGCAAGAGCAGATGCAATTCTCTGTAGGAGGTGGGCGTGGCCTAGGAACTAGTCTGCTTGTTTATTTTAATCCCTTTGAAGGCACTTGAACTTTGTACTCTCTCAATTCCTCCTGGCACCAGAACCCGGAAACCTAAAATTGTCTGTGCCATGTCCACCTCCTCACAGTGATGGAAACAATATCACAGCGGGATCCTCCGTGTGCAAAATAGAATTCAGTGTAGCCGTGTGAGTCTCCAGGAGGTTTAAAAGGGAGCAGCTAAAGAGGATGGACCCATTTTGCATTCTCAGGTCAGAGAAAACCCCTGGCATTAACCTGGAAGGCCGCCTAGTGTCCTGGCACCTAGATGTGGCTGTAAATGATTAAGCAGGGGACACAGTGTGTGGAGCGTGTGGCCGCGCAGGAGCTGCACATCATCTGAAGAGGCAGCAAGGCCTGGTCTTTATCTGGAGAAAGGGGGTGCAAAGGTCAGAGTGGTGGTGGGAGGCTGGAGGCAGCCTCTTCCAGGTCTTTGATGCTGTAAGCCCCTGCTAACAAAGATAACAGCATATGGCTCCAAAGATAACAGAATGGCTCCAAAAGACAAGGACGCTTGCTGCCTCGGAGGCTAGACTCATTATCAGCTTCTCCTCTCTTCCCAGGAAGTGGGGTCCAGGCTTCCTGGAGCAGCATGAGGCTGAGATTTATGGATGGGTTTGTTTGCCAGGCAGGGGAGCCAGGCAGTACAGAGTGTCCGGGCAAGTTTGCACCAAACCAGCCTGACTTGTTCTCTGCCACACTTAGACGAGGGGAGAGACAGCACTGTCCCAAGGAGGCACTCTGCAGCAGAGAGGGGTACTTTGACTCACTCTGTCTCCAGAAGAGTCGCATGCCTGCTTCACTGTGGAAATCCTCTGTGTGTCCATTTCCTTTCTTCTTCTATAAAGAGACCAGGGTAGACCAGATGGTCCCCAAGCTGCCATAGCAGGCACAGGCACTCTGTGATTTCTTTTCTTAATTTCAATGTCAAAGGCTTCTATGAGTGAATGGGTTTTTTTGCCCCATAAACTAGATAAGCTCGCAACGTTTTTCAGTTAGAGACTTTCCACCTCACATTTGGAGTAGTTCCAAACATCATGGAACGTGAGCCAAAGGATTTCTCTTCACCGTTTGCACCATTGAGCTAAAATTTAACCGGGAGCCCAGGCTGATGGCAGCAGCGGAAAGAGGAAGGCTTTTGCCGCACTGATTTCTTTCACATCCACAAAATGCAGCCTGTGAGATAGACCCCAGGCTCTGCAGGCAACAGACACCCAGACACACAGTGCAAGAGCCCCTCCCTGCGTACAAGTCGCAGAGGGTGAAGGGTAGTGGAGCAGTGAGCTGGGGACATCACGATCTCACTGTCTGGCTCCAGCAGGTGGGAGAGCTGAGCAGTCATTTAATCTTTAACATCTCTTTCGTCCTTCTTTTTCAAATTTAAGAATGGCTGTAGGAATTCTAAAATAACTTTATTTTTTTCAGATTGTCACTTGTTCTTTAGTGTGTGTTGGTTAACAGTGAATTTATGGATTTTTAGAGGCATTTTACTTTGCCTTTTAAAAAAAATTAGTGGCGATTGAAAGAGAAGCAAGATTGAGTTGTCTTCATTTAAGGATGTATGCAAGTGTAATTGCCCCTGGCTGGCACTGCCCTGCGTGGCTCACAGCTACCAACTTATGAATCTTCCTGACTATCCTAGAGGTTACGCTCATTCAGGCCCTTATTTTTCTGATGGGGGAACTGCATGCTGTGGGGAGAAAAAACTGACACTTTGCCTTCTGGGCAGGAGTCTCTCCCTGAGTTTTAGGAGCAGAGACTTTGCTTTTAATGTCTCCATTTTGCTCAACGGGGTTGTCAGGAGAGCCAGACGTGAAGGTACCCAGTAAAGAGGACTTTGGGTTTTTTCCCAAATGAGGCAAAACATAGCTCTGGGTCAGTTCAGCCTGGCACAGAGTGGCCAGGGTGGGGGTGCAGACCTGTGAGAGTGGAATTGCTTCAAGCTGGAAGCCCCCACCCCCACCCGCTGCTCTGCGCTCAGATACCCTGGGAATGCACCACGTCAGCTTCCTTGCTCTCTGCGAGTGAGTGTGGAGTCTGCTGTGTCCTCCGCAGCAGCCACCCCCGCCGCAGCCACCACAAACGTCTGTGGTTCTCTCCCTCGCTGCCTGAATGCTGGGTCAGGTGCCACACTGTCTCCTGTGTTAGGAGTCACTAGTCCCCTCCCTACCCTGGGCATTGCTGGCTCCTTCATGGTTAATATTCAGATGGGCTGGAGATCGTTAACTTTTCCTTGTGCCACGGGCTCCTAACAGAATAATAGTTTATGTGCCTAAGATAAAATACAGAGCATGATGAGGAAAACAATTCTATTGCCCTGCTTCGACCCCACTGTTCACCATGTGTGGCTTCACAGCACAGGGACTGCTTTATCAACACAAGGCACGGGAGCGTAAACAACATGATTTCGGTAACAGCTACGATGACAGTGCAAACCTCTGTGGTTTCTACTGGTGACAAAGGCAAAGGTACTGAGATGCTAAGGTGGTTTGCTGCCCACCTTCAAAATGGAAGGAAGTTAATTTAACATGAGGTCAGGAAAAATCAAGATGTCACTGTCTCCTGTCCTGACAGGTTCCCACCTCCCAGCCCATCTCCTCTCAGTGTCACATGATGGGACCCATCTGCCCTCCCTTCTTGGCTCACTGACTTGGCTTCTGGGAAGCCACAGCTGCCTGGGACCCTGTCAGCTCCCCTGTGGCTGCTCTGTCCCCTCGCTGGTCAGTGACCTCCCAGCCCCTCCTCTTCATACTTTTCATCTAACCTTGTGCAAGAGACTTAAATGCCTCTCTCAGCATCCACACCATTCAAATGAGGAAAATTATAGAGCTGTCTCGCAGGGTAGCTGGCAAGATTCAGTGAGTGAGGGAGGCGCCTGTGGCTCAGTGAGTAAGGCGCCGGCCCCATATACCGAGGGTGGCGGGTTCAAACCCAGCCCCGGCCAAACTGCAACAAAAAATAGCCGGGCGTTGTGGCGGGCGCCTGTAGTCCCAGCTACTTGGGAGGCTGAGGCAGAAGAATCGCCTAAGCCCAGGAGTTGGAGGTTGTTGGAGCGACTCCGCTGCACTCTACCGAGGGTGAAAAAGTGAGACTCTGTCTCTACAAAAAAAAAAAAAGAAAAAAAAAAAAAGATTCAGTGAGTGAGCAGTTGTAAAGGACTCAGCATGGTGTCTGATACATTGTAAGTGGCATCCTGGGGAATCCCGTCCAGTCTGCGGCTCAGATACCATCTGTGCATTGGTGATTCCCAATTTCCAATTTGCGTCCCTTGGCTGGATCCTCTCTTTGATTCCAGATGTTTGCATCCAACTCCCCACTCAGCCTGGACTTTGGCATAACAAACTTACAAAGCCCAAGACTGCAAGATGAAACCCCTGGGGCCCTTCGCAAGCCTGCTCCTTCCATGGCTCCAGGTGCTTGGGCCTTGCTGTCGAGGAGTCTCAGTGCAGTCCCGCATTCTCTCCCAGCCCTTCCCAGGTATCCTGAATCCTGGCAGTTCTGCCCTTAAACTCGTCTGGGGATGGAACAGCTTCTCAGCAGCACAGGGTGTCTCAACTTCCACCTGCTATCATCCGAGGAGCATAGAGAGTGGACCTTTTAGTTGACGTGAAGCTAAGGCCTGTCACTCCTCTGTTCAAAGCCCTTCAGTAGTTTTCCATTCAACACTAGCTTCATTACCATGGCCCTCAAGACTACAGGATCTGAGCCCCTAGCCCAGTCCCCCAACACCTGCTAGAACTCTCTCCTCCTCCATCGCTCGCTCTGGCCTCACTGACTTCCTTCCATGTGGCTCCTACCTCCCAGCCCTTGTTCTCACTGTTCCCTGTGCCTGGAAGGCTCTTTCTCCAAAAAGCAATCACCCTGGAACCCTTCTTTTTCTCTATCCCTCACCTGCTTTTATGTTTCTTCATAGTTCTTGTACAGACAGAACAGACAGTCACTGGCTTAATTATGCATTTTCTGCTCCCACTGGAAGGTAAGCTCCATGGGAGCAAGGGGCATGATGTGTCCCTGGCAGCTGGGATTTCAGTGCCTAGAATAGAGTGTGGCATATAGCACACACTCGATGAATACCAGAGAACAGATGAAGGAAGGTGCCTTTGAAGATCCCAAAGTATTAGCACATCAGAAGTTTCTTGCAACAACTGGGGACAGGAGCCAGTGCATAAAATTGGAGATGTATGGTTGGCATCAGGCTTCCCCCCCACCCACCCAGCAAAGCAAAGGAGCCATGATCCCTTCTCCCCAGTCCCCAGCCATGCTTGGTTTTTGATCTGGTTCTTTCAGTGAACAACCCTGGAGTATTAAATTATCTGTACACTTCTGATTTACAGGCAGGTTTGATCCTTTGCTCACAGAGGAGGAGCTGATTAAATCCACCTCCATGACCTCTGCTAATGTTTTACCAAATAACGACCAGTAAGCCAGGGCGTGATGGGGGACCTTTTACTCCTGATTATCTGCTCTCTTCAAATGTCCTTTGCTGTTTCCTGTCTTCCCACCTCATCCCTCCCAGGACTGGAGAGTATGGGAACACAAAGGCTTTTCAACCCCCCACCCAAGGTCTCACAATCCATCTGCATTTGGGGGAGGGGTCTCTGTCTGGGTAGTCTCATGAGGCCTGAAGTAAGCCAGAGTCTCACCTTCCTCATCACCTGAGCCCACCAAGTCTGGTTTCTTCAGGATTGCGGGATCAACCAAACAAGCTTATGGGATAGTCTTTGGGCTCAGGCTGGGCATGGAGCATCCCCAAGGACCCCCGTGGGACCAAGGTGTTGGAGCTGCCTCTATTGGCTCCTTTCCCTCCATCCATCCTGCTGCCTGCTTGCTGGTACGCTGGATCCCTGGGGGGTGCCTGGGGTCCTGTGTCTGCAGTCCTCCTACAGTACCCAAGAATCAGACACACAATCCCAGAATTCCTCAGAGAGCTCCACCTGATGTCCAGTGTGGCAGCTGGTCACCTCTGTTGGCCTTTTCCAGGGAGCTCTGAACTTCCCAGCAGCATTTACTTAAAAACCTCGCAAAGCCCAGACTGCTGCTCCCTGCCCCCCTCACTTCTTCACTTGAGACCCCAAGATGAGAAGAGAAGGTCATAGCTGCTGTCTGGGGAAAAGATATGCAGAGCTGCATTTTAACAAAGTCTCCAGTAGGACAGTTGTGACCATAGTTAGCTACTCCATGGTGCTGATCCATCTTCACTTTCTAAAAAACT